CATGTTCCTTCACAAAGGAATCACACATTGTACTACTCAGCTCGCCCCTGTGGTCTTGCCAAAAAGGCGAAAAGTGGAGATCTTCCTCCCTTACCTCGTCTGTAAAGATCAAAATTCAATCTTTGAATATGCAGACGTGAATTTGAACTATTTTGTGAGGGATTCATAATCCATTTACATTCGTTTGCCGTTTTTGGCTCCTTTACCTGGACTGGTCATTGTACATGTGGGAACTTAAGGACAACCTCAAATAGGTGGCAAACATGGTGAGAAGTCTGCATATCACGTACACGGTACAACAGTGAAAAGAAGGACCTTAAACCTAATCTTGACATACATTTTAATGATAAGATTAACGTCTTAATAGGAGCTAATTGTTCTAAAGTAGAATATCTAAATACAAACGTACCTTCAATACCACACTAGACCCAAGACACACAAGTGGGGACACTGGTACGGTAGCGGAGGGTAGACACTAAAGGAGTCTTCAACAGGAACCACGACTGCTGGTCGATTGTCCCATCTTAACCTTAAACATAAGTACTCTCCAGACACTTGTACTTACAAGTCAAACAACGTAAGGATATCCATTATATCCATCATCTATCTATCTATCTATCTATCTATCTATCTATCTATCTATCTATCTATCTATCTATCTATCTATCTATCTATCTACTCTATTCTATCTATCTATCTAATTTTATCTATATCTATATACCGTTTAACTGTATATATGTAATTGTCTTTATATCTTAATCCATCATTGTTTCTAATCTCTATCTATCCATCTATTCATCCATTCATCTCTCTCAAATTATTGATCTATCAATCCATTAATGCATCCATTCATCTGTCTATAAGCCTAATAACGGCTCTCGCTGAGGTCAGTTTTACCAATGGTGTATCGATTGAACTTTAAAACGGTTCCTAGTTTGAAGTGACTCTTTGTTTTGGCGGGTCCAGGACCGCTGAGACGGCAATACGTCAAACTCGGGGTAGCGCCCTTTGTTCCTTTGTTAACACCAAACGGGGCATGAGGCGAAAAGGGTGAAAGTGGTTGAAAGAGTCGGGTAAGAGTTGCGTTTTCTCTGGCACCGCTAAAGCGACAGGACAAATCATTGGACGGGTATGAATGAGAGTTATGATGCTTTAGACAGAACCAAGTATTTGTAGTGAGAGAGAAGAAAGTTATAAAAGCAAAATATATAACATCTTTTCAATAGTATGTTCATTGTAAAATCTTCCCCTCCCGAATAAAGTTTGCAGCATTACCCTAAAGTTTTTTACATCGCATTTTGATGTTACAAATGCATAACGTTGTTACATATTTTGTCAAGGATATTTTGTTAGGGTCGTTTTTAGCATTACGTGAGTGTAAATTGTATCGCATAAAAGTCCATCTTAGTAAGGTAATGATGTATTACCTGTAAGGTGTATTACCTGGGTCTTAGTAATATAAGACAGCCGTTTAATACCTTTATAGCGTTTTCAATGTACTGCCGCGGTCTTACTAATATAAGACACCTGTGTACTACCTGTAATGTGTATGACCTGGGTCTAAGGCAAATGTAATTCTGCAATAAAAGAAAATGTAAATCAAAATGACTTGTAACAGGTAAGAATTATTCCCGAATTTTCAGTCTTCAGTAAGCATAAGAAGCTAGAGGGAAATACAGAAGGGGTACTAATACGTCGATGAAGGTTAGACATCCAGGTAATACGATACGCCAAAAAGCAGTTACTCAAGCAACTGGATATGATTTTGAAAACGTCAGACGTTTCAGCTAGTATCCACTAGCTTTCGTCAGTGACTGAGAGACCAGAGGGGAAAGCAGGTTTATAAGCACAACCTATTGATTGATATGCAAATAAAGTGAAGACAAATTTTTGGAAGTCGAAAAAGGAACAAAAGTCAAACAAGTCAAGACAAGATGATGCAAATTAGTCTGAAAGCTCCTTGTATACAGAACAGGAGCTTAAGTGTTGTCTGTCCTCGGGGCTGGGAGTGCCAAATCTCAAGTGCCGGAAAGATCGACCCGTAGCCCCCCTTCCCTGTTGAGTGTGGGGTTGTACATTCTTTCATATATTGCCTCTTTAACACCCCGTTCCCACCAGCGTGTTTCGCGGTCTAAGATATCCGTGGACTCGAGGTTGAAAGAGTGACCCTGGTTGTGTTGTAGGTGGTGGAAAATAGCTGAGGAGTAGCCGTTGGCGCTAGGTCGGCAATATTCTTTGTATCTTACTTTGAGCGGTCGACTTGTCTCTCCGATGTAGGTGTTGTTACAATTGGGCTCCTCACATTTGAGTCTGTAAATAACATTCGCCTTGGTACCTTTGTGAGGTCGGTCCTTGGGGTGTACCAGTCTTTGTCTGAGGGTTGAGTGAGGTTTGAAGTTAGTGGCTATGTTGAAGTTTTGGAAGATCCGTCGGAGTTTCTCAGATACTCCTTGGACATACGGAATAGTGATGTTGGCCTTGTTTTTGTTGGTCAATGGTTTGCACTTCTGGGTTTTCTTAGACTGATCTGAAGGTTTGAGCGCTTTGTTGAAAGTCCAGTTTTGGTAGCCACATTTAGCCAGGGCACCTATGTTCGTCCGTTTTGGCTTGGTCTGAAGTGATAATGTTGTCTGCACGATGGAAGAGAGTTTTGATCACTGCTAGTTTGTTTTCCCAAAGGGTGGTGGGAATCAAAGGCCAGGTACTGATCAGTGTGGGTTGGTTTCCTGTACACTTCGAAACGAAGGTTACCATCTTCTTCTACGATAGTTTTGGTGTCTAGGAAAGGGAGCATGTTGTCATGGCTTGGCTCCTGTGTGAACTTGATGTTGTCATCTATATGGTTGATGTGGTCAGAAATAAGCAGCTACCCTCTTTTTCAATCTGCACCAAGTGTCATCTACATATCGAAACCAGTTGGCCGGGGGAGTGTCATTGAAAGTGCTGAGGGCTTTGTTTTCAAACTTCTCCATGTACTTCTCCATGTACAGGGGTACTAATCTTTAGTGATCTTGCCACGGGGTGGAAGGGGGGGGGGAATAGAGGGGGGCTAGGTAGGGGGATTCTAGTGAACTCGCTCCCCAAATAGTCCACATCTCTAGCGATCTCGCCCCAGGGGTGTTTAATCTCTAGCGATCTGGCCCCCCAGGGGGTTTAAAGACTAGCGATCTCGCCCCCGGTGTGTTTATGTGGGGAAATCACTAAAGGGGGGTGAGGAGTGGGGGGGGGGGGAGATCACTAGCGATCTCACCCCTCGGGCGACGAAATCAGAAATCCCAGGGGGGCAGATCGGCATGACACCGGCCCATTGGCTAGTATGCCTATAGCTAAGTAGCCATTGGTCAGTGATTGTGTGGAAAATCAGTTATCTACACCATGCATCATATTGACTCATTTTCCGTTTTGCAGAGTATTTTTAATATACGACATGCACACAGGTAAGCTATAAACTCACAATAGCCGAACCAGCCGTTTGAACAAAACATCGTGCTGTGTAACAATATAATTCAAGTCAGTGTCAAGTAAAACCCAAATGACATAATCTCCACAGCTTAGATACGGTTACAGAACATGAGATATCATCAAACATGTGACAACTTTACTGCAAATATAATTTCACCAAATTACCTTCTTTCCACGAGCACGATTGAACCACCCAACCTGGGTTGATCCAGATCATACATATAATAATCAATGAGTAACATTATGGCCAACGTCACAAATGTATGTTAAACATGACACTTACTTTGATCACGAAAATGAGGTTTCCGTTTCAATATGTGAACGAATGAAATCAACCACATTCTATACCAGGTCCAATCATCACCGCTATACATTTATACTGCAGTGCATTTATACATCTACACAACTTTCTATATGTACAAACAATTCTGTTCGTTTGTTGTGATGCTATCAGATGGTATTTTCAACGTCTAAGAGTAATTGAGGAATCGTCATCTGTTGCTCTCTTGTTCACACTTGACAGATTATATCAACTTGTAAATGATCAATTGAATCAACACAGTAACGATTATGCATGCGTGCGCGCACTCGTGTATGGGTAAGAGAGAGAGAGAGAGAGAGAGAGAGAGAGAGAGAGAGAGAGAGAGTGAGTGTATGTGTGAGTGTGCGTGTGCAGATATCTGATTTTACTGCGTCATTGCCAAATATGTAATAGGGTCAGATAAACACACGAATCGCAAGGAGAAGAATATCGTTATTTACACTACAGATAGATCCGTTATTTTCCTCCCATGGCATGGATTACCTACTTATGAAACAGCAATACATGCGCGAAGTCCATGAATTTGACTTACATAAAATAACCAGCCAATGTTGTGATTAGTTAGTTAATAATTGTAAAGATAATTCTATCGACAGCTAACTCAGTCATCATACATGATGCAGGTCCTTTCTAAATAGGTATCAGAAGCATTTGTCTCGATAATTACACGTAAACGCGAAGCTAATTACTTCCGGGACGGAGGTTCGCCTCCTGAAAGAGTATAGTGGTTAGTCGCGTCCGCAGCTATAATTCATGAACCCTTCGCTAATCTGAAACGTCGCTTGCTAGAATGCGTTTTTCAAACTTAGCAGTTTTAAAGGTCATGTGATATTTCAGAAAACACGCCTGTTGAAAGACGTGTGAAACAGGTCATTAATTTCGTAGGCTTTCGTGGGTGTGCGCTAAGTGTTCTCTCCAAGCAGATATTGGGAGATGTGTTGTGCCATTTCCTGTGATCGTTTCGTACACGCCAATCAGCTATCTGTAGTCTACGGTAGTTGTGACATGGCTTTTGGTGCGCATCTGATACGATACCTTAACAAAGGTGGATTATACAAATGGTGGAAGATATTCATCTATATTTTCCCGTTCACCTAATCGATACTAAATACTGAATAGATAGCATTGTCATCAGGACGGTAAATAGTAACGGAAAGGAATAAATTACTGATGTGGAAAAACAGCTGATGGTGGAGTGTATGTGTTTTTTTAAAAATTTCATATCAGCTGTTTCTTGTTTCTATAATTTTGCGGATGGTTTTATCTATACAATGTCTTCGTAAGCTATTGGCGGATTATAGGCTATGTAATTTCTGTCCAATTCGTCACCTCTTCAATAGGCTGTCACAGACTAGTCTTCAATGTCATCGCCACGGTATATTGGATAGTCCGTCATTATTGTGTCATGTACATATCGGATGGAAAGGACTTTTTACACCTCTAGCGAACATGTCTGCCATTGGAAAATCTAAGAGTAATCATTTTATAACGTGTGGTGGATAGCATCTTTGTTCCATTTCGTAGAATACAAAGAAATCTGACTCCATAATAACCACCCATCTTGACAGAAATGATGAAAAGGTTTTAAGTAAATTGCTATTACTGATAAAGGGGTATCAAACACCGTAGACCACACTGCAAACCTTAATTACGTTATGAGTATCTGTGTCCTTCAGAATCTTGCTTTACTATTTTGAATCAGTCACTAGTTCATGTTACATGTAGATCTATCACCTTGAATAACAGAAAGGTGAAAATGATTCTATGTAACATTTAATCTTAGGCTTTTTTCTACTAGATTGATACGTTAGAGAGAATAGATTTACTAATCAAAATGAGAGTTTGTTTTTAGTAAATCTGAGGGGTAATAAAAATTCATACATCACTTGATTTTTTGCATCATTTGGTATTCCTGGTAACACAAGATAGATATTTGATTACAGGTACAGTTATGCTGGCAACATGATTACGTTGGAGCATATTTCTCCAGGTTGCCTCTATGTTTACTCATAACGTTATGTTTGTCACTCGGTGCTTCCGTTATGATAAGCAGGGGGGACTCGTGAGGCGTCTGTTGATGTCTTTTCGGGGGGTGTTCCGTGACGTCAGAGGGCTTCTCGGGGGTGTGTTCTGTGAAAGCAAAGGGCTTCTCGGGGGAGTGTTGGCGGGACTGTCACGTGAAGAAGCCCGGCTCATTATCGACATGGTCGTGTGCGGCATTGCGATGTGCTGCGGTCCTCCCAGAGCTCGGCTTTCCTTCCACAGCCGCCATCTTCTCTTCAACTCCGTCTGTACCTGAAAGCAGGGGAAAACACGTGCTCGTGACGTCAGGCTCAGAGGACGTTGGTAACGTCTACACATTAGATCTATGACATGAGCCTTGTTTTGTGGTGAACTATTAAGTAAATGAAAAAAGTGTACCATGTTTATGTACCTGCATATGGCTATTTCAAGACCAGAGTGTACCAGGGTGTTACACTAGGGCCAACTTGTCAAGTCTCACATTTTTCCACTTTCAAACAGAAAATTGTACTACAAGTGATAGCATGCATGATGCTTTTTAAATCTTCGGATAGCGATCAGCGGTTTAAAGGTCGCGCTCCTTCAAACTTTAGTGCGTTACTTTATAGGCACTATACGGACACTACAGGCCACCATGCACATATAAACAATATTCGGTGTATCCTCGATTTGTTCCAAATGTGAAATGACGTTACAGAATCAAATGAATGAAATGTTATTACACTCTACGGACACTGCACATCTCTACCCACACCGCAACATGGTAAATTATGACTGTCATTTTGTTTATTTACAACTATTATCAAAGTGGCTTCTGTCACAAAGCCACCAGTTAAGTTGTTAAATTGTTTCAGAATATTGAATTCAAATGACCCCATGGCATTCCTAAGTATATTACGATTAATAAACAATTCTGTGCTTCTCTAAGGTCACTACACAGTTTCTCGGACAAAAAAAGCAGACTGCGAAAGTCATCTGGCATTTAAACCTAAAGTACCAGCAACATAAAGACACATATGTTGCATAACATATAGATTTACCATAATGATACCATGTATACTCTTACGGTTGTTGAACAGGTTTTTCTAGTTCTAATTCCTGTACATTGAGTGAACCGTTCTTTCACATGATAAAGCTTCTTACGGACCTTGTTGTTTAACCGGTTTTTCTAGTTACTTGTATATAAGAGTGAATCAGTTCTCTGTTCATTTGTGACGCTGAAGAAGAGTGATGGATGTCACTCGAAACGTCCGGAAATAAATCCGTTAACTGATCCAGTAGTAGAGTTTGAATTTTCTTACGAGTATCGTTTACCTGGATGTCTAACCTTCATCAACGATACCATGTATAACGTGCAATATGGCCTATCACAATTTTATTGGAGGGGGAAGGATATATTTTGCTGTCAAGTGTCAAAAATGCATTTTAATAACATGTTATACATGTTGTTGAGAGGGAGAGGGAGAGAGAGAACCCTTATAAACGACATTATTTACAGCAAAGCCTTCCGACAAATACTCGTAGACTGACTTTATTACAACGCGTTAAAAATATATTAGATCACAATGGATATACCTTTTAGCGGCATTCCGATAAGTCACAGTGTGACCCTGAACATGTTGGGAAAATGCTGAGGAGACTTACAGATATGCATATACAAACATTTTTTTTTCATTCTTTATCAACCGATAGTACTTTATGTAAAATGTAAAACCATGTACAACACAGAACGATATCTTGATATTGCAGATTTCGAGCTAAGCTCTGCCATTAGTAAAATTAGAGTTAGCGCCCATCCTCTGGAATTAGGGACAGGACGGTATAAAAGACTACCTGTATGTGAAAGAATTTGTAAATATTGTAGTGCAAAGGCTGTGGAAGACGAAATACATTTTATTTCAAACTTCCATAACAACGCTCGAAATGACTTGACTATTAAAACTTTTACAATTCATCCAAATTTTTCTAAACTTACAGACCAAGAAAAAACTATTCTTCTTTTACTTCCCAAAACCCATAAATTTTGGAAAAGGTGGGACATTACGTCTTCCATGGTTTACAGAAGAGAAGTCAGAAGAAAAGTCAAACCCTTCAGACATAGTTTTAGACATAGGTATAATTATATTTATAGATAGCTACCTTAATCATGTAGATTTCAGTTATTCTGTATTCTGTTTCTTTTATGTTTTGTAATTTGCAATTAGCCTCCGGGCAATAAAATTTTCATTATTACTGGAGCAATTCTGGGGGCTTTCATGTCACATACCGTCTGAAAGCCTTACGCTAGAAAAAAATTCCTGAAACAAATATATCATATTAGTGATAGTTTTCGTATTGCCGTGGCAACGATTTTCACATTGAATCTTAGATTACACATGCTTTCTGACATAGATAACATCTTATGTGATCGTATGTAATTTCTATTAACGGGGGGTGCCCTAATTCCGACCTACCCCTAATTCCGGGCTAGTTTGAAAAAATCCTTGTGGCGGCGTTATGCATAGGTGCATGGCCATATAAATACCCACAAAAATGGACAAACTATATGGTGGTAACGATAATCTCACAAAGTTTGTTTTAGTTCGTAAGCTCCGGCAACAGACGAGTGAAAAATCTGTTTAAATTTGACGCTTGTTGGGAGGTTGACGAGCGTGTCAAAAATGCAGGTTTTGTTTTTGAAACAGCTTTGGAGCAAGTCGTGTAATCGTAAAAAGAAGACTTGTTTGGGACAGAAAAACAGTTGTAGATTGTTCTAGTCATAATTTGTGTATTATAATTTTTAAACTCTCTTCTCAAATGGACCTGTGTTTAACACTAGGTCGGAATTAGGGCACCCCTATTGCGATAGAACGTTCCACCCACAAAATAACCAAAAAACCTGCCGTAAGTTTCGTGAACCATCACGCTTGGGTGCAAGGTGCTGTACTGAAGTGAAATACACAGCTGTGCAGCTTTATCTGACAATATTATAGCTCATACTGCGCGGGTTTTTGGTCAGACAAACGATTACCAAAGGTATATGCGTTTGCATGGAACATAGGTCGGAATTAGGACCACTATTTAATACAGATAGTATTTCTAATTTCCTTGGATGGAAAGGAGCAATCAGCCATATTAACCAAAAGTTCAAGCAAGAGAAGAAAATACATATTTTGGATATGAATTTACCATGAATAAAATACAAAATAGCCAGTTCACTGCCAGTTTTAAAGATATTTCAATAAACTACGTTAAAATGTATTTTAATAACGTGTGTGATTCAATAATCGTGCTCTAGGATGGGTTAATTTTGAATTGTCGTTTAGGTTTGATCAATTCATATAAGATTGAATGAGTCTTTACATATGACAACATTCTTGATTAATTATCTTTTAGGTCGCAAAAACACAAAAGACCTCCCCCACACAAACGAAGGCGAAGGTAATCAACATCGTGCCCTTATCTGTTCTCAGCAGCCTGTCGACAAAATATCTATCAGACGTAACTCTTCTGTAAACGCCTTATGCAGCACCCCATTTAGCAAAATCTTTGTAGCCTTGCTCCATTTTGATTAAAACAGGGATGCCGACACACAAGGATATGGGGATACAAAGATAGATACACACATACACGCGCGCGCGCGCACACACACACACACGCACGCACGCACGCACGCACACACACACACACACACACACACACGACACACACACACACACACACACACACACACACACACACACACACACTCGGTTGAATGGTTAAGGCCATGTTGATTTGATTATATGGATGACATCCGCGCACGCAAGAATTTTTGTTTACAAAAAAAGTTTCGACCATACTGTAAATCGTACAAAGAAGGCTGCAAAATGAGCAAATATATACCGCAATTTGAAAAAAAAAATATAGAAAACGGTACTTATGTCGCAGAGTGCCAAAACACATTGCAGGACAAGAAGACAATTTGAAGGAATGAAAATGAAGAGTCTATTATTTACCATGCCAATAAAATTTTACTCTCTGTGTTTAGCCATTTGTTCAACCTTCATGACCACCTAGATACCATAATGAAGGCAACTTTTTTTTTGCCAAACTTTTTTTTTCGCACGCTTGCATCAGTTTTGGGCCTCCCAGAAGATGTCATCCACATCATCAAATCAACATGGATCAACAATCAACAATAATTTCTCACCTCTCCGTTTAGAAAACAGTACAACACAGCCACGATCAGCCCCTGGGAACGAAGGAACAAGGAAAAGAGAAAAATGAACGGATAAATAGATAAATAATAACAAAAAATATTTCAGTACATGTTTTAAGTCTATATGATCGTTCACCTGAATAGATATTTCAAGGAATAAATCAAATCCAATTTTGCAGCCTGGCAATAGATGATAATCTTACACCGCGGTAAATCAACCGCTTCCAATCATGTTAAATATAGTGTTGGTACGGGAGAGGTAAGAAGGCCTGGCTACTACATGTAACCATCTATCTAAAATATAGTAATCTAAGAACAAATTCATCCATTAGCTTTGTCATCATTAGAACACTTACATAAGAAACCCTTAGAAGACCAGAATCGTTATATTTTAATGTACGTCTTGTAAGTCTTGTTACAAAACGTTTATGCTTATTACAAACAGCTGATTCCGGTTGTTTGTTCCCTTATGTTTCGTACTTCTTATCATCAGAGAATAACTTTGTTTGTGTATTATCTTCTCCCAACCAAAATCTATGGTGAGTTCCTTCCTTGGTGACACCTCTGGGGTATGTAGGTATATTATGCGTCCAGTTTTGAAAAACTGAAGGAATTCGCGCATGCCATATAGTTACTAAATTTCTGATCTTTGCCACGATAACTCAACAAGTTGTGGATGGATTGTCATGAAACTTGGTAGTTGGGTAGGACTTGATGAGACCTCAAACCTATTTGTCCTTGTGGCTTGTGGTACTATAGCGGGGTTTTGCGGTTTTGATATCTAGTGATTTGTACAAGCTAGGGTCACGAATCGTAGATGATAGATAGCCTTTGTGATCGATTGAAAGTTTTGGGCCCCATAGCAACTTGTTCTGGAACTGCAAGAGCATTGTCAAAAAATGTTATTCGGGGATAACCCAAGAACCGGTTGATGGCTTGTCGTGATGTTCGTATGTAGGTAGCTGATGCTTTACATACTGAATGGCAACAATGCAAGTGAGTGTCTAATATACGACGAATTTCTATTATCGAAGACAGTCAAGATACGGAAACGTACTAGGTAGAATGGACACCTGTCATCGATAATGGAGACTAGCCAAAATCTTCATGCAAGGAACAGCACAAGGAGGAAGAAAGAAGGGTAGGCAACGGATAAAAAGGAGGATAATATCAGAGAATGAATGGACCAGCATGACACAGAACATTGAGAAGGGTGGAGCAAACTGGTTGTCAGATCATATGCGGTTCCCCAACGGTCAAATAATTAAGACCAAGGGATAGATGAGTTGAGAAGCTATCCTCCTGTATCATGTTATACAGTTGTCCAAATATCAAAACTATCACATCCAATTATGAAGACACTTACTAACTATCTACAAGAAAACATATCAAACTCAACGAAATCATTTTAATAGCATAGGCTACACAGAAGACTATACTCGTAAAAGAAGGCTGGGGTGGTTTGGTCATGTTCAGAAAAGACCCCCAAACTCTTTTGTATATGGGACCTACCACCAGGACTTTGAAAACCCTAGGCCTAGAGGAAGAACCCCGACAAGATGGCGGGACCAAATAGTACATAACACTGGATGGTCCCTTAAGTTTGCTGAACAAAAGGCTAAGGACCGTGCTGCCTGGCGGGACAGGAGCGAGGGACCAGTTCTGGCCTAAGCATTTAGGCAGGGTAGGCAGACTATACAGATTCTGGTCTCTGAATCAGATATCATTTGAGATCGCCGTGACGTAATCAGCACTATCTATAACACGAAATGAAACGGAAAAGCAATTATCGTCAGTGATTTTATACGTCCAATTAATCCAATCCAATCCTATTACAATCCATTCGAGATAACGTGCGAAATCTGTGGTGTCACTGTGGTGGTATTCAATACGGGCCCATATGGCGAACTCTAAGTGTAACATGTATCAAGAATCCTGTTACAAGAACGTCAGGCAGCATCTGGCATTACTTATCAAATAGGAACAGCGCGAAACTGACGGACGAAACGTTATTATCACACAACATAACCTATCCGCCATTGTTTGAGTTAGGCCACAGCAGGTAATTTTTATGGACGACATCGGCGCGCGCATTGCTGCCGTGAAAATAACGCACATTCAAGGTCTCCGCCATTTTGAAAATAAAAACAACATTTTTAAAAGATACAACATAAAACGCAATACAAATGGGCTGTTCTGTTAATTAAAACACACAAAGTTTGACCAAAAAGCTAACGATATCTGTATCGGTATAGCCGTCCTTCGGCGTAACACACCAGCTTCGCAGGCACGCGGCGCGGCGGCAGCTAGCTATATCATACCAAACGACTTGTTACTCTTAATCTTTGCAAATTTAATTGCAGTTGTTTAAAGCTTTCTAGTGATGATGCCCCTACTGTGCTTCGTGGCAAGGAGTTCCACTCTACGGTAGTTCTTGGAAAATACGAGTTTTTGAACACCTCAATTCTTACTTGACAACTGTGATATTGGAAGGCATGACTGTTTCTTGTTCTTTTCTGGGCTGATATCAGATACTTAGTGGTTGGTACGTCCTCCAGTTTATTAGTCATTTTGTACGTCATGCATAATCTGGACATTTTCGTCTGTCTTCCAGCGACCATTGTAGGTTTCTTTTCATTTGCATTAACTAGTACCTCTTTCATAATTGTTCATGCGGAATCTTGCGGCTTGGTTTTGTACTCTTTATATAGTCCGTCATCTTTGATTTTGACAAATGACGTCATCAAACTAGCATTTTTTATGTTACAGATTACTGAAAATTACGTAAGATTGTCATAACTGTTAGAAAGCACTTTTACTTAACATAGAAAATTGAAAATGTCAATGTTTGAAGAAAAATGACTGAATTAAAAATTTTCAGAAACCCGTTGTCATGACAACACGGAAACTTTTTTTACATATTTCACTGAAAGGAAATCGTTGCCAGATATATTTGAGGAAATGTCACCAAGTTTACTGGTTCTAGCTCAACTGTGTAGCGATACGATTACAATCAATTAGGCACAGGTAAAAAAACCGGAACATTGTTGTACTGGTACTGTACCGGATATAACGAATCTAATACTTCTTGGAACAGACAACAACATTGCTAGTTCCAGAATAGTAAAATTTTAGGAGTTGGCGGGTACCCTTCTAGAACAAATAGGTACAGTTCCGAACCTGTACCTGAACCCGTGTTTTACGTACGCAGCTCTTAAGCTCAAGCCATTCTTACCTTATGTGACCTGAAGCTTATTCGGTCGATCACCCCCCCCCCCCCCGTCTGAACAGAATTCAAATCAAGAACTAGTAATCTAGTTCTAGTAATCAAGAACTGATAGCCTCAACTAGATTATTTACCACAGGTAATTTTCCTCATCCCCAATCGCACACAGACATTCTGTCTGGCCGTTTAACACTAACCTCATCTCACTTCACTTGGGGATGAATAAAACTGTACAGTAATAATTTATTTACATTTACATGGGATTATGATAATATTTACAGAGTAACAGATGCAAAAAGGCCAATTTCATCACATAGGAAATTATGCTTACCTGGAATGAGTTCATGAAAGTGTCGAAGAAGTAGCTGACATATTTCACCTGCCCCGTGACGTCTTCAGGAAGGCCGATAAAGACGATGTAGTGGACACCGAAGAGCGGGATCAACACAAGTGTGGATCGGGTCAGCTTCCTGAAGAAATCACACAGAAGTAACGGATTGAAGGAGAAATAACACATTATTACAACAGGGTAGATTCCTGAAGAAATCACACAGAAGTAACGGTTTCAAGGAGAAATAACACATTATTACAACACGGTAGATTCCTGAAGAAATCACACAGAAGTAACGGTTTGAAGGAGAAATAACACATTATTACAACAGGTAGGTCACACAGATGAAGATTCCTGCAGAAAGTGTACAGAAAAGAATTCGCAGCACAACATCGAATATAGAGCGATAACATTTTGTCTTATTGATCATGGAAATGGGATTATTACATGTAGCATAATCTTTTTCATATATGGCTTTTTCAACTCAGATTAAAAGTATTTGTATTCAATGTGAAAGTGAAATGAAACCCTTGTCAAGTTTTCATTTCAAAATTTCATCATTAATTATGCAAATGTTCTAACTGAACTGGTCTAAGTTACATCTCATCTACCACTAAGGAATTATAGTATTTTCAGTGATTATGTAAATTAGGTTCTGATTTGCATGATTAGTATCTGTTTATGTTCCACTAGCCACAGATTACATACATTACATTACAAGTATCAAAATTCTATTATGGTTCCGGGTCGGAGTTTAAATCTGAGTCTAAGTGTGCAGAAAATTGCCGGAAACGTGACTTTGTTTCGTATGTTTTTACCGCGATATCCCTGATATTGTACTATCTGTGTACATATCATTGTATTTTCTGAAAAGCCGGTTAGATGTAGCCTTTATAGGTGGCGTAATGTTGTTGGTCCAGCGAAGACTTCCTGGTAATTAGTCCGCGCGGATGGTTATGTGGCCTTTTCGCCTCGGGATTGTGCGTTCTATATGCGTTGTGGGTGTGTTTGGGTCATCGAAGATAGCGGTACACGTATTGCATCGATTTTAATTTAAGTATCGGAAAAATTAGGTACTGAGCTTCTTCGAGTACTAAGCTGTTACCCTGGGAAAATTCGTTTATTTTCCATGCAGCCATGGTTAAAAATGACGAAAAGAGGACCCCTTACTTAAATGTACTTTGGTAGGCCTTATTTACCCCTAAATAAATTGGGCTCACAAAATGTCAATCAAATAAGCGGCATGACGCCCCTGTCAACCTGAAGAGTGAAAAATTCCGACCTGTGTTTATTACAGAAATGACAGCCCGTCTGGCTGAATGTGTCAAATGTGTCAACATGATTTGCATTTTATTGTGTACATCTGTACTACCTACATGCCTAAAATAATGAACATTCATCATTCCTATCTTGATTAATCCGCTTTAAAAGCTTCCCGGACGAAAGGTAAAAAAAGTTCTGCTGCAGTACCAAAGTCAGCCACCAGGAGGCCCAAATTTTTAAGGCACACCCACCCACACACTCACACCCACACAAACGCACACACACACAGACACGCACGCGCATACACACTCACACCCACACACTCACACCCACACAAACGCACACACACACACACACACACACACACTCGCGCGCGCGCACACACACTCACACACACACACACACACTCACCCTCACCCTGACACACACACACTCACACACACCCACACACCCACACAAACACCCACACGCACACACTCACTCACACACACACAGACACACAGACACACACACACACACACACACACACACACACCTGCCTACAGACACACACACACACACACACACAGACACACAGACACACAGACACACACACACTGATACACACACGCACACACACACACACACACACACACACACACACACACACACAAACACACTGATACATACACACACACGCACACACACACACACAAACACGCACACACGAACAACCTAATTCTCATAACATAATAACCATACTTACTTCAGTGGTGTGTCAATTTGATACTATTTTTGAATTAACTTCATCTTATATATGTAGAGATGGAAACGAAATAACTGTCAGGAGTATTTACTTGTACTGCTGCGAATGTTCTCTTGTTCCGTTGGCCTGTCGTAGTTTCACAGCAAGAATCCGGACTATATTTAGAAACAGCATAAAGTTTACCTGTGGAATGAGGTAAAAAAAAAACAACGTGTCAGAAACGACTACAGACATGGGAATAAGTATAGTAGAAGCGATTTATGCCTGTTAGGATCTCTTGTTCACCTTGGACAGTTTATTTGACAATGTTTTGGCAATGTTCTTTTATTTCTCCCGTCTCAAACGTCGCATGATGCAACTTCGACAGCGTACCGCGGAAATTGAAGAAGAGGTCTTTAATCCAGGCAGTTACTAAGTACCTACTAACAAGAACTTCTTTTCTGTGCTCTTGTGTATGACTTCGATTGTTTTCCATCTCATAACCATTCTATTTTGGATTAAAGATACCCTGCCGGGCCTGCCTTTTTATGTATAAATGTTTCCAAGAATTCATAGCTGGATTAATTCACCTCTGGCTAATAATAATCATAACTAGAGTTTGGCGATCTCATACCTCCATGACATGTTTAGTTCTTTTGTAAATCTTATGCATGGTGATGACCATGTGTAAATGTCTCACACTTACAATCCTGCTCATCTGCAAAATTTTTATACAAATTATTCACATAGCTCCTACCTAGTAACATGCAACACACTGGTGAAATCCTTATCATTTAACATGGACAACATACTGTTGGTTATATGCAAGCACGTCCTCTGACACACCTTTGCCAACTCATGTTTGCCCTCCAAGCTGAGTAATTATACATTTTCACTGCGAATATGCAAATTATAAGAGGCCATTTGCATGTATCATATCAGTTTATAATATTACCCATCCAATGACATGTTTATCTTAAGAAATAAGGCTATCCTAGTGTTTCCTCAAAAATTATGCAAATGAGGTCCTAATTTGAATAAATAATGTTGAGTGATGTTCACCTTCACTGAACTTCCAATTATGGCAAGTATTAAATTCCCATCATATACCACCATAAAACTGTACCAATTTCTCATTAATTATGCAAAATAGGTCTTCATTTACATAATCAATATCTGCAAAAGATCTCGTCGTTCTCAATTACATATGTCTAAAGTGTTTCATGTTTCATAGCTGTAATATGGAATACAGCAGATTCATAGAATTTCCTCATTAACTATGCAAATTAGATCCTGTTTTGCATAACTGTATTTTAATTATGTCAATCATCACTCAAGCTACCTACATACCAAAAATCACGACGATCCATCAAAAGGTTGTTCAGTTATCCTCTCTCGAAGATTTCCAAAGAAACTGTCCTGCAGTTCCAGAACAAGCCGCAAGGGGGCCCAAACTGACGTGACTTCTTCCCGCAGACAAGAGCTACCTACCATCCAAAATTCGTGACCCTCGCATGTCCAGATCGCGAGAAATCAAAACCGGAACTTTCACCGCAGTACCAAGGGAAGCCACTAGGGGGCCCAAACTCATCATTTCCAGCTTTCCTGACACCCTACCAAAGCACCAAGTATGAAACCAATCCATCCAGCCATTCTTGAGTTATCTTGTTGACGGACGGACGGACGGACAAAAGCAACTGAAAATGTAACATCCATGACACATTTCATGGAGGTAACTAGCAGAAAGGATAAGCAGAAATTTGCATTAGTTTGCAAAGTTGCATTACATGGTGGGACTATTGAAGATTGTGGCGTATGTAATTGCGAACGAAACAAAGGCAGATATTGACTATGTAAATTAAGATTTAATTTGCATAATGAATGAGAAAATGTTGTAATTCAGCAATAGTATTGCCTGGAATTCCATGCTTAGGGTGTTTGAAAGTTGAGTGAAGATGATTAAACAACTTCAAATAGTATTCAAATACGAACCTCATTTGCATAATTTATGAGGAAATGGTATTCTTTGTTAAGATAAGACTGTCTTTTGGTGGAGAATATGATCAACTGATATAATTTATGGAAATAAGGGTCCTATTTGCATAATCAGGGGGAATAATAATTTGTCCTTCCTAAAGATTAACATCACTTGGCGAAGGTATGAGGCCGCGGAACAACATCGCAGCTAAATCATACGACGTTTTACTATACGTAACTTCAAAAATATTGTCTTCAATTATCTGCATATCAATATCAATCAATACTTCGTGCTTATAAATCTTCCTGACAAGTCTCCTGTGTCACTGACGGAAGGTCGTGGATGCTACTTGAAACGTCTGTTTTTAAAATCATGTCAAGTTACTATGTTTTTTGGTCCATCTTATCACCTGGATATCTACCCTTCACCAAAATTGTGCTCAATACATGTATGTGGCGTTCGGCGTTTAGTCCTCGATACGTCGCTATAGCCCCACCCCATAAACAAAATTTTATGCCGACGCCGCCTTGTGCAATTTCGATTATTCATCAATAAAGAAAAACTATTAAATTAAATGTATATTAGACAGATGTGATTAATGATGTTTCAGACGTGAAAATCAGTTCCCCTCACCAGCACAGACACCAGGATGGGTCCCCTGTAGATCCACCAGTACTGCAGGTGTTTGATTTCCCAGCATCTGGCAAAATAAGACAGTCATCTTCATGCATTACCAATCGGAATTAGTGACGTGACGGTTAGGACTTGGCAAAATCGGGTATATATATATTTCATGTTGTATTAAATTTTCGTTTTTCCATTAAATGCGATCAGAATGTTGCGAAAGCTGTTGGAATACTGTTGAGATATTGAGAATCAAACCAATACTGCCGTTAGAATACAATTTGGGTACATTACTTCACTTTAACTTGGCCTCGAAGGCTTTAAGCAGGACTAAACAATTCGGGCTGGCCATGGCCACCAGAAATGACAAAAATATATGAAATGCAGTAAATATTTAGAATCCATTTTGAATATACAGGGGTACATAAAGAGTTTTCGTTCAGACGGCATGCCGGCTCATCCCGCCCCGAATGTGACAGAACTCTAGTGTCCCCGTTCTGTGCCATGTTATGTGTAGATTGTGGGATAGTAAACCCACCGTGTGTCTTGAAGTGTTGCTCGGACTGAAATCCACGGGATCATGAACAGCCAAGGTGTTCCTACAACAGGGAAGGACGAATTAAGGAGACAGGCATACGCCCGTGTGCTTATTAATAAACATGCTACAATTATGCAACCGCAATGCGAATGGTTAAATCACTGAAGTTCCACAACTTCAAAACTTGATGATACGGGGAGTATCTACCCTTCCTAATATCATGTACCACCAGGAATACCTAACCATCATAGTACAATGTACCGTTTTCGCACTTATATCAATGCTCGAGCACCTGATGAAAAACGACGGAACGAGTTTTCTGAGGCGTAAAACCACAAGATAACCGTTCACCGTGGTAGCAGTCGATACATTTTTATGCATACAGGTTAATTTCCAAGAAAAATACTGCAACGCTCTCGCACCTACACATACCACTGCAGCGGACCTTCGGAAGTACCTACCCCATCCCAGCACCATGTACCACCGGAAGTACTTCCGTTCGGAGAAGAAGCCTACGGCGATGAGGGAGTGCAGGAAGAGTCCCTCCACCAGCAGCCAGAAGTAGTTGGCAGCGATGAAGTAGTTGTACAAGGTCACAACGATCTTGCACCCGATCTGCGGTTCAAAAGGAGGAAGGTATGACAAAAATTGCACTTACCGTGACAAAACAAAGTGTCTTGCCCTCAGGAGTTTGGTTTGTTCAGCATGTATGTCATTTCAAATCATATGACACATGTCTGGCAATTTCTCCTCTAAGTGGGATGTTCTCCTCTAAGTGGGAATCCGGAATCCTCCTAGGGGAGATTGGAACTCCATCTCCCCTAGGAGAATCTGGAATCCTCCTAGGGGAGATAGGGATTCCAATTTGCCCTAGGACAAGTGGGAATTCTTACAGGACAATCTCCAATTTTAAAAGGAGAAATTCTGATTGCATCAAAATGCTTGGGAAAATAGACCGAGTTATATCACACCTAAACTTTCAATCAATTTCAGTATAGGTAAGTGAATATGCAAATCAGACCCAGATATTTGCATCAGGCCATTGTGAGATAGTGACTCAAAAAACAGTTTTTCCAGTTTGTTAGTGACTTGGTATATAAGGGATTGTTTTCCCCTACCAAGCCAGTCGAAGTGACAGCATACTGATCAAATGATGGCGGAGGATGAACAGCAGCAGAAAGCAGAATTCTTCTTAGGAAAGATTGCAATTATAGAGTTAGAACTGCAAATTATGCCAGGACAAATCTTGATTCTAATCTGGTAATTCACCTACAATTATAGTACATGTGTACATGTAATAGGCTTGCCTATGCTGAAATTGATTGAAAGTTTAGGTGTGAAAAGATTCAATCTATGAGTTCTAGTATTTCTACTACTTAATTGGGATCTGAATATCAGGATTCCAATCTCTCCTAGGAGGATTCCAGATTCCCCTAGGAGGATTCCAGTCTCCACTAGAGGAGATTGGAATCCCTATCTCCCCTAGGAGGATTCCAGATTCTCCTAGGGGAGATAGGGATTCCAATTTCCCCTAGGGGAGATAGGGATTCCAATCTCCCCTAGGAGGATTCCGGATCCCCCTGGATTCCAATCTCCCCTGTGACATATACATGCATATTGATTTCCGTCTGTCTGCGTGTCTTTTTGTCTGCGTCTTAATCTATCAATGGACGTGCGCGCGCATGCTTGTGCTGGTGTGCTGATGCTGCAGATTCCGTATATCACACCAGGTGGCGCTGTAGTACTGGGAAGCGAAACCATATCTGATTGCTTTGTTATCAGACAGCAGAGCACTCTCCAATCATTTAAACAACCACGATAATATAAACTCTAGAATAGCGATCATAAAAGAAGATGATCAACCCATGGATGCCTATGTCTCAGCACGGTTCGCACTAAAGGTTGTTGTCAGGAGTCCAACAAATTGTAACAGTAATATGAGATCTTGATTTCTCTTGTGCGATAAGCTTCACTTGCTGGCTGCTGGCGCCGTCTGCTGATGGGAGGATCAGGGATTTTACAAATTAAATATCTGTCTCGCCAAAATATACTGACAGGTACGGAACACGAAATGTGCGCGTTTGTAGGTGTGTTTGTATGTATGTGTGTGCGTGTATGTATGTGTGTTTCTATATGCGTGTGGAACGATCTAGTTATGACTTCTTTATATTTGTGTCTGTGTGAATGTGCGTGTGAACATGCACGTGTTTTTTGTGTGTGAGTGTATGTGTCTTTGTGTGTGTGCGTGCTAATGCATGTGCCTTTGTCTTCTGAATATTGCATTTCGGAAAACAAGAGTTCCACGATCTCATACCTTCGCCAAATGATGTTAACCATTCCGACTGACGAAATTATGCATTTTTCTCATTGGTTATGAAAATACGATCCTCATTTATTTCCATCATGGATTATCAGTTGGTCATATTCTCCACCCAATGACAGCCTTATCGTAACAGAGACAGCTATCATAGGACTTTCTAATACATTATGCAATTATTTGAATGAATTATGTTTATTGATTTTCACCTTCACTTAACTTCCAAATGTAGCAAGTATAGCCTTGCAAGTTTCATGACAATACATGCAAAGCTTCTTGAGATGCACACACACACACACATACATACACACATACACACTCACACAGAAACGCTAGTGAAAACATAACCTTCTTGACAAAGGTAACAAAGACGTAGAGGACAATAAATGTAGGTAATAACAATCTTGTTCTAGATACCTGGCCGATGGGTAGACGAAACGACTGGTCTAGAACAAGTGGAAAATACAGTCTAGTCTGGCAAAGGAGTGGCAAAACTGTGCACACCTGACCTTGTCATTGGTCATATAACATCCAAACAAGAATAATTAGTTTCAGATACCTATACAATTAAATTTACACCTGTCTTAAAACGATTTGTTTCTTAAAGAACAACAAGTGTCCATAGGCGACAATTCTCCGTGAAGTTTTATATTTTGCAAATACATATGATCAAGAACACGACAAGCTAAACAGATGAACAAAGTCATATTCTATAACAAGATCTTTCATTTACATTTTTCATTTATTTGATAAGGTATAGTAGTAGGTGCAAACCATTCACAATCACAGTCACAAGAAGTCACAATACAAACAGGTACTCGCAAACGATTATACACAACAATCACCTAATATCTGCTTATAATTAAGCTACAGCCTATTCCACAGTATTACAGAAATAGGGGTGTTTCTGAAATATGAACTTACCTCAATATAAAAACTGCTACGTTGAAAGGAAAACAACGTGCATCATCACGGACATAACGACACACCACATGCCCAATTACATAGAAATACAAGGAAGACAACAATGACTCTTTACTGCGAACGCATTGGAGAACGCCTCACCATTTCCACTACAGTCTACGAAACAGCTGTTTTTAAACAACAACCAAAATCCGTATCTGCCTGAAGAAAACCCTCCCCCCCGCTATTCAAAATAACGTTTTATTGCGGCCGGTCCCATATGCCTCTAAATGTACATTGACCACGAAAACTGCTACGAATATAAAAAATATAAAAATAAAAATACGTGCATCACCAAGGGCATATACAGACGTATACAGTTTCATGCCGATTAAATAAAGGGAACCCTGTGATCTAGCTGCGAACACGACAAAACGACTGCTCACAATACTCCGTCCGGAGGTCATGACCTCCTTCACGGAGTAATAATGGGGGTACACTTACTCTCTCCCCTCCCTCTCCCTCTCTCTATTCTCACTCTCCCTCTCTCTATATATATGTTTGTGTGTGTGTGTGTGTGTTTGCGTATAAGCATTGAGTATGTGTTTTTGTGTAAACACATTACGATACTGAGTAGCCTGCAAAATATGGACTAGCCACAACATCTTGATGCTTTTCAAATTACTTTGTTAAAATGTTAAAGCATTTTGGGTGTTATTTGATATTTTATCAGTTTTAATAGAGGACAAAGAAAGACCTAGATTCACCTTACTGTCACCATTAAAGTCGCTGTACGTCGGTTGTCCGATCCCCCCGAACAGCACGGCGTCTTTGATGAATATAAACACCGCTCGGAGGATGAAGGACACAAACAGGTGCAGGTGGATGTAATTCCGGATACAGTGGAGTTTCCTGACAACGAACAAAGATATAGGGACATGAGCAGGTGTAGGTAGATGTGTCGTTCGTCCGTCAGGTTGACGAGGACCGCTTTGTCATCCCTCTGTAGTAGGGTGTGTCTGACTACGTATGTCGACTTATGTCAGGTAGATGTAGTTCCGGATACAGTGGAGTTTCCTGACAACGGAAAAAGATATAGGGACATGAGCGGGTGTAGGTAGATGTAGTTCCGGATACAGTGGAGTTTCCTGACAACGGAAAAAGATATAGGGACATGAGCAGGTGTAGGTAGATGTAGTTCCGGATACAGTGGAGTTTCCTGAGACCGGAAAAAGATATAGGGACATGAGCAGGTGTAGGTAGATGTAATTCCGGATACAGTGGAGCTTCCTGACAACGGAAAAAGATATAAGGACATGAGCAGGTGTAGGTAGATGTAGTTCCGGATACAGTGGAGTTTCCTGAGACCGGAAAAAGATATAGGGATATGAGCAGGTGTAGGTAGAAGTAGTCCCGGATACAGTGGAGCTTCCTGACAACGCACAAAGATATGGGGACATAAGCAGGTGCATGTAGAAGTTGTTCCGGATACAGTGGAGTTTCCTGACAACGGACAACGGACTAAGATATGGGGACATGAGCAGGTGTAGGTAGATGTAATTCTGGATACAGTGGAGTTTCCTGACAACGGAAAAAGATATAGGGACATGAGCGGGTGTAGGTAGATGTAGTTCCGGATACAGTGGAGTTTCCTGAGACCGGAAAAAGATATAGGGATATGAGCAGGTGTAGGTAGAAGTAGTTCAGGATACAGTGGAGCTTCCTGACAACGC